GCACGTTTGAGTTATTTTTTTTTTAATTGTTTATTCATTTCTTATCAAAATCATGTTTCAGGGAAATATTGAGCAGTTCATAAAGTTTACTGGCTGGTACGGTCCAAATGTGCTGTACTTTGGTGATCATGTTTACAGTGATTTAAGAGTGAGTTGGATTGTCTATAATTGTTTTCAATTTTATATAAACATTCGGACATAAACCAAGAAGAAAGATAAACCAATTCATTAGATTTCTATCCGTAGTCATGAATCATCCGTAGTCATGAATCATACTCCGGTATCTTTTGGTTTAAATGGGGGCCTGTTTTCTTTACTCGTTGGAAATTGCACTTTGTGTTCTGAAATTCTTTTTCCTGTTTATTATGTCTATTTTAGGATCCTGTTCTTCACCATGGGTGGAGAACTGGGGCCATCATCCCGGAACTAGAGGTATTTGCTATCAGCTTTTCTTACTGACATATGGGTAATTGAAAAGAGCAGCCTCCCTCTACCGACTGTTGGCCGATTGTCGGCCGACTCGTAACCGACAGGCTTCCGATAGCTTACCAGTTGGCTTAAATTTTAATTATATTGTACAGCAATAATAGTTAACGTCCAAAATAAAACTAAAAAAAAGCGGTTAATTCTATATTACCACCGTCATAATTATAATACATCACGTGGAAGCTACATATGTTTTTTTTCTCGTTTATCTTGTTTCTACTTGCTATGCGTTTAGATCAGGTGGAGACTCGGACTTTTACTTTCTTCACTCTCGTGACAAAGCAACAGTATTTCCCTACTGTTTGAAGTAAAGCTTGTGAAGGTAATCATTAATCTACTTCACGTTAAGAATTGTTATTTTCTCTTTTCTTTTTTGGCAGAGTGAAATCAAGAACGGCAACTCACTGGAGTTTCAGCGTTCTGTGGTGTGGCTGACCAATCTTCAAGATTTAATCCTCCAACTGAAGGTCAGCAGCTTGCGAACAGGTCCTCATTATAAGCGCTTCAGTATGTGCGTTTCTTCATCTCTAAGAGAGTATGAGCTCTTGAGGAATGCGAGCTAGCAGAGGTTTGCAAGGGGTTAAGTCAACTCGTCTCCAATCTTCTCACGGGCGGAGAAACGCGCGTCCTGCAGCACTGATAATCAGGGCCTTCCCGCGGGCTAAACGTCAGTAGCGCACTTTAGTGATCAGATCCCATCAGCAGGGTTGTATTTGTCGTCTGGCTGTAAAATAAGCTATAACAATTCTTTAACCATGTGAACATCGTATTGGTTAGGAAAGGTACAATAAACTGTAATGTGAAGAGGCTACTAGGTAGAGCTATCATGTAAAGCTTCACTTAGAGGTAATGTTGTCCAAGTGTAAGATCTCACTTTGTAATAATGTACTGTAAGAATCCAGAATTTTTTGCACTAATACTCTTATAACTCTTGTACCTAGAAAATCGTCAGAACTGTTACAAACAAAGTTTACCTATTTTCCGACAGGCCTTTCCTCCAAGCAGTAAACGGGCTCAACTTACTGACGAATGGAAACGAGAAAGAAGAGAACTCAAGTAAGAAAAACTCATATGAAAGTCACTGACAATTCTGCCGCGTTCGCGCAGCCATTACATTGTGTAATTCTGGTGAATTTACTGACAATTCTCCTGCGTTTGCGCAGTCATACACACATTGTACCCTGCATTTGAATAGTGTAGGAGACAAAATATGTGGAAACTCCTTCTTACAATCTTTTTTCATTTTAATGTTTTCTCCGGTGTCATTTTGTGGTCGCTACGCACAAAGAAACTTAAAAATGGATTTATTGTATTGCAGGTTGAAGTTGAAAGCGCTGTTTAACCCCAGATTTGGAAGTGTTTTTCGGACATACACCAACTCGACGTATTTCACTCGCCGCTTAGTACGGTTTGCTGATCTTTACATGTCGTCTGTTGAAAATCTGCTTAATTATCCTTTGAACTACACCTTTTACCCACGAAGGGCTGCTCTTCCTCACGAGGCTGTGCTGGATTTTAGAACTAATCGAGTTCCGCAATACCAGACATATCCGAGCGCAAAGAACTAAATAGTATCGTTGCTTTTCAAAGGGCGTTTTGACTTGTGCGTTTTCCATAAGATTTTATTTGGCAACAAACCGTTGGGTGTTTTGGGAGTTTAATTAATAGATATTAATCCTTTGACCCCTTAGAGTGATTAGCATCTAATTTCTCCTTACAATATCACCCCAGAATCACACATTAATGTTGCGAGGATAAAGGAAATGATTAAATGAAGAAGTTCTTGATTGTGAAACAAATTCTCCTTGTCAGCATTTAAGGAAATGTATATAGATCAGTATGAGGAATATGCGTACTGATTTAAGAGTGTAGAGGGTTAAAACGAGGTCATGTAGCTGTCAGGTGAAAAGTGAACTGACGATTGCAAATGAATATGGATACAATTAACCCATTAACTCCTATGAGTGACCAAGACAGAATTTCTCCTAACAATATCAATACAATATCAAACAGACAAGTGATGAGAATAAAGAAAAATATCAGTTTGGTGATTACAAATTCATCCAATACCAAATTCTCCAAACTAACATTAGAAGAACTATATAGCAGACAGTGAGGAGAATTTCTAATGAGATCTTGGGACTTAAAGGGTTAAAGACGTGGTTCTTCTTTCAGGAGAGTAAACAAAACGTAGCACTTTTTGGTTTATCTCAATTTATTTAATCATTATGGATGCATAATAGTGACTAGAATCAAGATTTTACCATGTAAAGAAGAAGATGGTATCCGCTTATTGACCTTCGAGGCCTCAACGTATACATTTTGCATCAAAAACTTTTAATTTGTAAGTGAGGGTAACCATACTTGCTACATGAATACTTAACTTTAATTTATTTTATCTCTCAATCGGTTAGTATGTACGCCATGGTTGCTCAGTTTAGCGGGCCGTGTTTCATTGCGCGTCCCGCTAAATTCAAAAGTTAGTTTGAAGTGATATTGCCTCCCACCGCTTGAACAGAGAGATATGGTAGATATCTTAAACTCGTTTTCCTAGTCCAAACTGTATGTTACGAAACGTCGTTTTTCCGCTCAGATTTATGGGCCGTGCGCCTCGTGCCTGGGCCTTCAATTCGAGCGGAAAAACTCGGTCCATTTCCTAGAGTGCGGACCTTGAAGTCGGTTTTTAAGAGGTATGTACTGAAGTCCGACTAAGTTAGATTTTAAACAGACTGCTGTTAAACACTTGGCTGAAAGAAGATCCAATTTATTGCACGTTTTACTTTCATATTCATCAGTCGCTCATCGTATATTTATGATATAAAACAATAGTCTTTACTTGATGATGAACTTTGCTTTGATATTTGTCCGAAGACATCATCGGTTCGCTTCTCGAAGGTAAATATCCACCGCTGTCACCTACTCTAAGGTGAAAAATGGTTTCAGTATCTTGCACACAAGAACCGAAATTTGGTATTTCTGTCACAATCCTTAAAATGATCGGAAATATAAAACTACGCATTAGTTTGTATCCTTGGCTGCACGGAATTTTACTCGGTAATCATCTTGGAATATTACTCGGTAATCAATCGCCCATCAGCGCGCGCGAAAAGCAGCTGTGCATGTGGTATATATTGACTTTGGTTATTTTCGTTGTCAAGTATGATATTGTAAAGATATCTTTAAAATAGTTAAAAGATAGAAATCAATTATATTTTAGTTTCCAACAGAGGTTCCTACTTTGTTAGTGTGAATTGCTTTTCATGAAACAAATTCTCACCCAAAGGCGTTACCTCACGGTTTTTCTTTTTCGAAAAGTTTTGTCCGAATTTTTGACAGACTGACATTTACAATCCGTATTTATTCTTTCCAACCTTAATCGTTCTCTATTTTTCATCTGTGTATTTTATCTTTCAGTAATAACACTGACATTTTTTTGGTTTGAAAGTTCAGTTTCACGTCGAAGAAAACCACCGAAAACATCGCGAGATAGCGCCTGTAATATTGGGTATAAAGAAACTTAAATATTATCATTATTATTAAGAGAATTTATTTATCTTTTCAGACCATAGGAGGTCTTTTATTTTGGGAAAAATTTATCTTGACTTCAAAGACCTGTGTAGAGAACTTTTTAATCATTATACATAATTTAGTTTACCTTTGCAAAAACGAAAGAAAAGCCTCGAACTTGAAGTAGAAAGAGAAGCATTTTAGAACGAAATAAAGAGCTATATTATAAACAAAGATAACAGACTCCTTATCTTAATGCTCATGGTTTGAAGTAAAGAAATGGATCTGACCACAGACAGCCCAAGCTCCAGCTCTGGAATGATCATCTTGCGTAATAAGAGTTATGGCGAAAATTTAAGAGTTTGTATGGGAATATTTACGACCGCTCTTAGGAAACCTTGTCCTCATTCATATTGTAATTTCAAATTGTGAACATCTTTAAGAGTAATGACCCAAAGCTTTACGCTCTAAATGATTCTAATTTTTCTTTCCGAGGTAAAACACGGTCAAATGCGGCAAACACATTATCAGATACTGAGTACCACTAATGTGGTCTTAATTAAATGACGATAAGAGAAATTCACCCCCCTTAGACGACTAAGACAACAAAATTGCACGAGCTCGTTGGGAAAGAGCAATTTTTTATTCACTGAAAGCTTTACATGTGCTTATTAAATCAAAATACATGAGTAATCATGCTCTTACTTAATAGTTATGTACATAAAAAAACAACAGAAAGGCAAGACAGACGAAATTTTGAAAGCGAGCGCGCGCTATTTGTTATTTGCGCTAGCCTTTGCACTCGTGTTACAACTTTGCACTTGTGAGAATGCATTCGTTTTCAGCCGATCAGAAGCGCGTAATTTTTTCTATGTACTGAAAAGCTCTCAGTGGGCAATAAATGATTGTTTTCGCGTGGAACGTGGATTGTGTGAAGTTGGCGCGCGTTCTTTAAAAGCTTGGTTACTAAGCGCAAAACAAAGAAATTTGAATGTATACAAATTAGATAAGACGACGCTCTTTCTAGCGTCCACTTCGGCGTCTGTACGTAGATTACTTTTCTAGACACAAAAATCAATGAAGCTCCTTTGACCATTCAGGAGAAATGAGAGTGGTTTTCCTCTGTAAAGGTTCAAGGGGCGATATCGCTCCTGTTCTATCACTTGCCGTCGGCTTCAAGTAAGTTTTCAAGTGCTTGCTAATCAGCTTATCATTCTCATAATTATTCCATCCTCTTTGCACACCGGTGCAGATACTTATTTGTCAAATATTATGGCTTGTTGCCAGCATCATGCTGTGAATTTTAGGTTTTAAGTACTTAGTATTGAGTTAGAATAATATTTGGCACTTGGATGACAATATATTTATCTCCACGTTATGTGTACGTTAGCAAAAGGAAAACAATGATACCACTGTAAAAATATATATATTTTTACTCGTTTTCATGTTTTACCGTTTTTCAACGGAGACTTCCTTTTATTTGGGTTATGTTCGCGTATAATAGTAAACATCCTGAACTAATTCTCTTTCGATTGACGTCCCCCAAAATGATAAAAAAATTGCCTTCGTTTTCAGAGACCACTTGCTATGCAAACAATGCTTTGTTTACTCTGATAGAGGTGCACTGTTTCGAACGACTGGTCGTGTTTATCTGCGTTCTAAATTTTACTACATAAGCTATCAAGCGTGTGTTAATTCCTGTTGAATTATTTAGATCAATATCGTTTTGAAAAATAATGTACTTATCCCATTTCGATATGTCTCTTTTGACCATGGTGAGCTAACCTAGGAGGAAATATGCAAGAGTCACATTTTTCGTGATAATTTATCTGTTGTTTTCTTTCTCGAAGGCGTCTTCTACAGGGCATTCTAGGTATTTGATTTTTATTTTTTTGACCTTTTTACCAGAAAAAATAGATTTGATAACCTTGTGGATCGAGTGAAGACGTTTTTTAAAATTTTTCTTTTCATAGTTTCCAAATTGTGACGAATGAATAACTTTCCCCTTAATTTGGCGAAGGTCGAGCCAAAGAGTGGAGCGACTATCTTTTGTTTTGTATTCTTTCCTTTAGACAAAACAACCCCACAGATAACTGCACCCTAGCAACTCATGCATGTCACAGACTCAAATTTGACAGCATTCTCAAAAAGAATGATGTGGATTTTATGGCTGTTGATGACCTTGGAAAAGACAGTGGGCCTCGTAATCTTGAGAAACTAGAGGTAAGTGTTGAGGCAAGTGAAGCCAAGAACTAAAGATAATTAAGTAAGAAAAGTCTAGCCAGTAGCTTAATTAGCATGGGAATAATTCAGCCACTAGCTGTTTAATTCATTGAGAAAGACATTATGAAATCAGTGGAAGAGCTTTCTTCATTTTATGATATTAGTGGTCAAAATGGATATACCCTTGTATGTAATATTCTCATTATGCCCATTTATAAATTACTGAGATACCACAAGCACCCTTATTGGTAAAAATCTGTCATTTACTGCACTGGTAAACCTATAAAAGACTAAAATATACTGTGTTTTGTGTTAGGTTTATTTTATTTAAGTAATAGACCACACTTTCTATCAGTTCACCAGTGTAATAACCCATGCAGGATGTTAGGAGAACACTAGAAAATTTTGTTAACTATTCACCTCCACCTTGTGATTTACAAACTTTCCTCATGTTTTTCCAACATCCCACTTGGGAACCAACAGGAGGGATGGTCTGTGCACACTTAGTGAGGGTGAAACCACAGTTTTACTCTGTCATTCAAACAGGAAAGGAATCAGTCAGTAGAGAAACGAGCATAGATTTTTTGAAGGTCTATATAAAAGTCACAAGTCGATTGCTCTGTTTTTGTCACTTTCTTTTTACTTTTTGTACATGTATTAATTTCAAAATGTTAGAACAATACCTGTTTAATAAAATTAGGTGAGGTCAAAAGGGGGTCACAAAAAGTTACATTTAAACCTTAATTCATCATCCATGTCTCAAAACTGTATTTGACACAACCCCCTTGCCCAATTAGGGTGAGAGGGGATGTTTTCAAAGATACCCCTTTAAAAAAAATAGCAAGTGTGCATTGTACTCATGATTCAGACCCTTTTTGGAGCACAAGTTCAAATGTTTGCAATCGTTATGTATGATGAAATATAAATTGCACTTTATTTTTTATTTCAAACACTTTTGCAATTTTTATAAGCTTCAAGTATGTAGTGGAAGAGGTTTCTCCAAGAGTCAGCAACAAGATCGCCTCATTGAGATGCACGGGAGTTTGCGAGCCTGCCGAGGGGCAGATGCTATCGTGTTTAACCTCTTTGCTTGCGAGGGATGGTTCATTGCTAAATACTTTGATGTACCATGTGTTGCAGCTTCTCCATTTGCTGTTACCAGGTAAAGAATTACATCAAATTATTTGAAAATGTAACTAAAACTTTTTGAAACTATGATATTAACCTATTATTTGCTTGTACCCAATGATGCCTTTAATTACAACTTTCACATTCTTTAATTTTCTCTAGAACTCCGCCCGTGACATTTGAAAGCAAATTTGTTGATGCTTATCCTGATTTGTACCATCGACTTCGGAACTCAAAACAAGGTGCTGCTTAAAAATTTTTTTGTGAATTTTTTTACACTAACCCTAAACCATTTATGAACTAAACAGAACAAATTAGAAAACATTTGTTGGATACTTGTATACATAAGTGCACACACAGAGGAACTTAGCAGTTTTATGTTATAACTCCTAGGAGAAGTGAGTTATGGTGACATTGATCACTGGATGTGGAGACTCTACTTGGATGACTTTGGGGAATTCTGTGACAGTATTGGTCTGCCTGTGTGCCCTTATGCTGAACTGACTCCTGATGACAGACTCCACCCATCTACCACCCTTCTGTATGGGATCAGCCCACAAGTGATTGAGAAGCCTCCTTACTGGCCAGAAAAGTAGGTTCATGCAGTTGGTAATACAATTTCTCAGTTTATCTTTTGTTACAAAAAAGAGGTAGGGACTGGGTTTTGTTTGTGCTATGAGGGTATAGTAAGTTGCACTTTTAGGAGGTAAGGTAATCAGAGATAAACCCACAAAGCCATATGCTGGTAACCTCAAAAGCTTCCCGGCAAAATCTCTGGAATTATCACCCTTGCTACCTCTGAAATTCAGTCTTTACTCTATACCAGAGTTTCAAGAATCAGGAAGCACTCAGATTTTTCTGGTGGCCAGCAAAGTCCCAGTCTTAAAACACCCTAGCAATATAAGGAATTGTGCTATCTATCCACTACTCTAAGAATGATGGAACTCATTCAGCCACATACTGGTTATCTCCTTGTATTTGCAGTGTTGTTCTGTGTGGTTACTGGTTCCTGGAACTCCCAGATGAACCCATTAATGACATCAAGGTGTACCATCCAGCATCAGGTTACAGCACATTGCCAGATTTCTTTTCCAGCTTTAAGGGGAGTGGTGAAAGACCAGTATATATTGGGTTTGGCTCAATGGAAGAGCTGGGATTTTTCTCGAGTGTTGATTGCGTTGAGCTTCTTGGGGTGCTTAATGAAGGTACATCTACTGTTCCTATTAACTTGAGAGTTAATACTATATAGTTACATACATACTTTAACTTTTCCAAAAACTGAGTGGTTATCATGTACGAGATTCTCTATTTTTACAGGAAATCAAAATTTACTGCTGATGAGATGCTTAATATATGAATATAAGGTCTCATTCACTTCTAATGTAACATTGGTGGATGAGTTGTTCACAGAAGTACCTCCTAAGAATGGTTTTGAGAAACGACGTCAGTCCATATTTAACAAATATAATCCATGTTGTCGTGGACCTGTTCAGTCATTGAATAAAGGTAGCAGATGACAAGGTGCGGCTGGGTGAATCACTGCTGTTCTTATCACATTTTGGCTTCCTCTGTGATCCATTATTGAACAAGCGCACAGCAACATGGAAACAATTTATTTTATGTACTAGTGAATAAGCAAATGTTGCTTGTGGTGACAATATCTATGTGTTTGTCCCCTTGATCATGAGTAAGAACAGATCTAAATGCATGTATAATTTAGCTCTTAGATCTTATTTGTAATTCTCCTTACTGTCTGCCATACATTTCTCATGATGATAGTTTGGTGAATTTGGTAGTGGATCAACTAATAATTTCTTAATTGATATTTTCTCTATTCTTATCACTTGTCTGCTTGATTTAGTATAGATGTTGTTGGGAAAAATTCTGTCTTGGTCACTCATGGAAGTTAATGGGTCATGTATGGATTTTAACAGTTTTATATAGTCATCCTTTTTTCATTTGTTTGTTTTTCAGGTCTTGTCCAATGTGGGAAAAAAGCACTCTTGCAACTATCCCCCAATTCCAATCTCCTTAAAACATGGGAAATGTTGTGCAAAAACTTTCAGAACTGTAACATCCACTGTCTCATGGAATATGTCCCACATTCTAAGCTCTTTCCACTATGCCAATCTGTAGTGCATCATGGGGGAAGTGGAACAGTTGGTATGGCCCTAAGATGTGGTGTTCCCCAGATTGTGTGCCCTTTTATGTTTGATCAGTCATACTGGGGTGATAAAGTCATGTGGATGGGTGTCGGTGAGTCTGTTGGGCACCCACGGTCACTCAGCGCTGAATCATTTGGTTCAGCCCTTGTCAAGGTGGTTAGCCCAGAGGTTCGTAACATGGCTGCTTCTTATGGCAAAATGTTATTGGGTGAAGATGGTGTTAAGTTTGCTGTGCATCAACTTACAAAAGAGATTAAAAGAAGATAGCAAATTTTAAAGAACTCTTGGTAAGTTGACAGATGATGTAATGACTGTAATGTAAAGGGCACAATAAGTTAAGATTTGTTTTGTATTATTGTTATAAAATTCAGTTTTAGACCTGTAGGCATAGTCACCAACAAAACCACAACTGGGATATTTTGTAAGTTATCGTACTGAATAATGTAAATAATATGTATGATTTTTATGGTTCATTGGGTATTTTTTCTTGTTTGCATCAGAGGAGGGAATTTAAGTTATTTAATTTTATGGGTTTTAACAGCTGAAAGCTAATTTATGGTTTCAGTAATTAAACTTTTATTTCTTAGGATGGGAGAACTTTCAAGTCATGCAAATCTGGCTGGCAAACTTTTATGGGGTACATAGAAAAAATTGTCAAAAAACAAGTACTTTTAAAAAGGTTTCTACCCCAGAATACAAAGTTTTATTGCCAGAGCTGTATACATAAATCTTTTCTGCCAGAGTATGGTAAATTATTTTGTAAATATTTTATTGTGGGTTTTAACTTATTGATTACATTTCTGTAATCGTTATTCTTGTTAGAGTGTAATTTAGATGGCCAAGCCATGTGTTTCCTTAAAAATTTGAATTAAAGGATGTTTATGATTGATGTTAACTTGACTATCTTGATTATGTGTTCTCTTCATTGCCCACGCAAGTTTTGTCCACCAAACGACAGTCACACATTCATGTGTGGACTAAAGAATAGGGTACATGTAGTGCTTGTTTTCAACTTTTACACCCTAACTGATCAACATGCAAGTTCTCCATACTGTTCTCTATGCATTTCCCTATGGTACTTACAAAGGAGAATTTCCCAACAATCAAGAGCCTCTTTAGTTGGTGATCAATTTGTTCATTCCCTTCATTCCCATGGCCTTAATGTTTGATTTGGGGGTTGTAATATCAGGAGAAATTAGACACTTTTCACACCTAAGGGTTAACAGGTTCATTCATGGGGATGTTATGTGGCCTTACAACTACAGGATATCAAATTTTCTAGATATAAAGTCTATAACTGATTGTACATTAACAAAAACGAAAAACGTGTTGCCAACAAAATTTTCAGCGAAAGTCGCGAATTTTTGACCTGTGTTAAGTGCTCTTGAAGTAAACTGTTGCATTTTTACTGTTTTCAGTACAACTTTAAACTGAATATGCTGGGATTAGCAATTGCATAGAACATAACGTTATGTTGCACATGTTCTTTAACAGTCATTTTACCTTATGGTATTACGTCAGTCATATGCTGTGGTTTAGTTATTGACCTAAAATTTACTCTCTCACCCTCTTCATTTTGATGAATTATGCATTAAACTTAGATTAAACGATTGATCCCCTGCCACCCTTATAAGGTTACGTTCTGTTTCCAGAGCTGTGCTACTGTCTTCTGTTTACATAACTAAGGGGGAGGGATGGGTGGTTTTTCCTTCCCTTCGCTCCATCCTTGATCAAAATACACCTTTCTAGACCTCCCAAACGACGAGGACATGTAAGGATTAGCCTTCCTACTAATATTTTATGGCATTTTCTACCAAACTTGCACAACATACAATGGCTCTTTCCACTGTATTTTCAGCCCGTTTCTAGAAAATTTAGTTGACTGTAATTCGACGTCATTTGAGGTTGTTGGACCTACTTTGAACGGTTGATGTAGAAATGGAGCGTGAGCTCGTTGATGACGTCCCAGGACACGCCCAATATCACGTGACCCAAAACAAACAAAGTGTACGCTTCTCCAAAAGTGTACGGTGCTATTCAAAGTTATTAGTTTCTTATAAATCAGTGCGTTTGTCCTAAGTAATTCTAACATGCATTTAACGTAAACATGAAGACGTGGAAAATGAACACAAACGGTGAGTCATTTCTACCTTACCTCAGTGAGTTCGTTCTTGCGCACTCCAGCTGAATATTTTCAACCCGCCCTGTCCAACCTTCAACGAGGATCTGATGTGACAAGGATGTGCTGCTCGTTTTTAAAGCAGTCATACGATACAATGGGTTTGCCGAGATCTAATTATTTTAAGGAGAATTGTTAGGATTGTTGAGCTCGCCACTAAATGACTATTTAGTGTGAAATCACGTTTACTTGATAAACTATATCTATGTTTGTTTGTATGTACATGCCACTTTGTTACGCGGTATTTAAGGAAAGCTTGAAGCTGAAACCTGAAGGTCTTTTACGCGATTTTAAAACTTATTGAGCTGAATAAACTGCCATTTTTTTATGAGGTCAGGTTATTCTCTGGTATTTTACTGCGTATCCTCTATTTCATATCATAGCTCACAATTGGCTAATAGAATAGAATAGCAAGCTCTTTCTTCTGTAACATGTTTCGACACTGATGCAGATTGAGAAACAGCAGCCTGTTGTTAACTCAAAATTTTCCGTGAGAAAAAAAGAACGATGTATCACAAAGTAATAGCTAATGACGTCATATACTTCTGTAATGACTAAAAAATTCTGTTCAAGTAAAATGATGTTTTTAATTCAAGTTCCGTTAAGTTCGAGTTGATACCTCTAAAATTACAACAATATATTTGCAACTCTCTTTTTTAACTTCTTTACGTAAGTTGAAAAGCTGTCTTAAGCGAGGCATTTTACTTTCCCGCCTTTTGAAGTCGGAAAACTCATTTGAATTACAAATAAATTTCCAAATTAATATTCATATTTGTGCTCAGTCTTGCACGTGGAAAAAGCTTTCAAACTACAAGAAATTTGAGCGTCTTTTTAGCTTCTATAGAGTCAAGAAACTCGTCATTTTGGACCTTAGATATTGCCTTTTCTTTCCAGGTCGGCAAGTTTTTTTTTTAAGCTGGATGAAGTGGTTCAAATACCATGACAAGGATTCATTCCTCTCACTTTGTCACGACTCCTCTTCAGGTAAATAATCTTTGGAAATATATACTTGGATAGTAATACAGTGTTCATCTTTCTCTTTGTGGCCTTTGTAAAATCATTTCACAGAGTCAAATGCAGAAAAGCGTAAAGCACATAAAACAGCGTAGGACAAGTTCGAAGCGCGCGGCAGCCGCCTTCACAATTATTCTTGAATGAGACTTAAGTGGCAACGAAATAACTTCGTACTTCGTTAGTGTACATATTACGTATTTCAGTTTCTATTGATTCCTGTACATATTTTCAACGGCCTCTTAGGATTATAATGTGTTGACCAATAAAAGTGTGTTTTACACGTACCTGTTCTCCTTTACTCCAACCTCGCCGAAGAAGGAGACCATCATCGTACTCATTTTGCCCGAGGGAAATGTAGTAACACTAAATGAGTTTTTCAATCCAGACGTTGACGTTAAATATTTAGAATGAGAAGCACTCTAGTATGAACGTATTCATAATATATTTGTCTCTTTTTTTCCCTATAGGGCAGCAACAAGATGAAAATGAGAAGACTTCGAAATCAAGAAAGTCAAGGAAGCAAAGAAATACATGGGAAGGTTAGATCATTAGCTTTTTATAACAAATTCGCTATTAAGGCCTCATTCGTCTACGTCGAACGTTCTAACCTGGATTTAGCAAACGTTTACAAATCGAAACCAACTCGATCAATAATGAAGAAAAACTGCCAGCAAAGAAATGAATACATTTCTCAACTGTCTGATTTCTTGGATCTCTTTCTGACTGAGGTGGCTTTAAGCTGTTTTCAGCAGTGTTCGTTTGGTGAATTCATTCCACTATAAATATTTTTAATTTTTATCTGTTTCACGAAATACCTTGTCACTGTAGTATCTATCATTCTGACCTTTCGAGTTACCATGGCAACCGTTTGGCCTATCAAATTAGTTCTAAGACTTGAGAATAATTGTAAAAATTACATCAATCATCCGATTTTTTTATCCCAGACTTGTTATTAGAAAGATTGCTTATCAGCAAACTGCAGACATTTTACAAGATATAAGTCTCTGGCCTTGCATGTTTCTTATCTGCCCGAGGGCTCATCCAAGAGCTTGAATTTTTCGAATATTGCGTTTAAATTCCTGCTCGTACCAAAATTCTTTTCGAAATCTCTGATAACTTTTAAAGTCATATCATTTTGTTGCAAAAATGAACATTTTTTCAATTTAGACAGTTAAAGACCTTGAATTTGTCGAATATTGCATTTTAATTTCTGCTCGCATCAAAATGATTGTCTGACTAGCCTGGCTTCACACAAAGATTACTACTTTTATAACCTTCAAATAGACGTAATATTGGCCTGGGCCACGATTAGATTTCAATTTTTTGAGGGGATGCTTTACGTTAACAAGGGAATCTTTATTCAAGAGTATACTCATGCTTTGCTCTTGCAGCAGATACTAGGCCAGTGCATTTTCTTGCGAAGCATCCTGTTACTGTTGCATAATATGTGAAAGAAGGCGTTCATTTGATGACAAATTTCGTTCAGTCTGAGGCCTGAATGCCTCGGCTCTTTGGGCTAAATAAAATATAAGATGCTCAGGATTTTATATTTCTCAAACTAATTCATAGAACTCTGTTGTAGATCTCCGATAAGTTTAAAGTCGGATAATTTCATACACTATTACCTTCTTCGATACAGTCCTTTGAGCTCAACTGTTGAATGTCTTATCCCTTGAAGTGAAAAAGAAATTGAAGTATGCTCCTACGACTAATATTTCTTGATTTTTTTCTTCCAAAATTATCTTCCTTTTTTCAATTTAGACAGTTCAACCCTTTTAGCTATTACCTTCTTCGATAAAGACCTTGGAGCTCAATTGTTAAATGTCTTTTCCCTTGAGATAAATTTGAGTATGCCCCTGCAACTAACATTTCTTGATTTTTTTCTTTCAAAATTCTTTTTCGAAATTTCTGATATGTTTAATAGTCATATAATTTCCCTCTAAAATGAACTTTTTTCAATTTAGAAAGTTAAACCTTTTTAGCTTAAGTGTTATGAAGTTAAGTCTTGAACCAAATTAAAAGAGCACAGTTCTATAATTTAATGTCAAAGTTCTTTATGTGTTTGTCGTCAAATTGTATGGAATTTAATTTTTTTTCCTAATCTTGGAGCCGAAGTACCATATAAGCACTGTCGTAGCTCTAGAGGATAAAACCAAATTCGAGAAGTTTGCTTCAACATTGATTTTCCTTCCCAATCAAATTGACTCTTGACTCTATCATTAACTAAAAGATCTGTTTTTGCGTGGACACGATCTCAATAAAAGTTCTTGGTAACTAATTCCAAAAGTGTATGTATGAGCTCTTAGGGCTAAAAACAAATTGGAGAAGAAAGTTTGTTTCTCAAATTTCCTGTAAGGTTTATCATCAACTGATAATTATTTTCATTTCTAACATGATTCGTTAGACATGTTCAAGTCTAATTATTAACCTTAAACTCCCATGAGTGACTAAGACAGGCTGAAACAAATAGAAAAGAATGTGCTGAAAAATTGATTTTTGTTTAAAGGTTATTAACAACCCGTATAGAACCTTTTTTCACGTGATTTGATAAAATCTTGGAGCTTAATTATCAGAAATGTATGAGTTCTTAGAACGAAAACCAAATTGAAATAGTATGCTCCAAAACTTGATGTTTGTATCTCAGTGACTCTATAGCTGATTATCAGCTGATAAAAAAAAATTTTTTTACATGATTCTGTAAACATCATAGAGCCTAGTTATAAAATGTCTTAGCTCATAAGGCCACATTGAAATAGCATGCTAAAGAAAATTGATATTATTCGCGGAATTCATTCTTGAATCATTAATTTTAATTAGAGAACATCAGGAGTTTAGTCACTTTGATAGGTTAAGAAAAAGAAAAGTACAATTCGCGAATAGCGGAAAATAAAGATTCTATGTCACTGTAGAAATCTATTTTGAAAGTCAAGTAGGCCGGCTCAAAGATATTTTATCCTGAAAATACTTCACATACTTTTCTAGTCACTTTGATAGGTTAAGAAAAGAAAAGTACCATTTGCGAATAGCGGAAAATAAAGATTCTAAGTCAGTGCAGAGATCTGTTTGGAAATTCGTTTTACACCCCTTTGTTATATTTAGTCAAGTAAGCCGGCTTAAAGATATTTTATCCTGAAAATACTCCACGAGAATATATTTGGGTAGAAAAGTTTAAACGTTCAAAACAACTAAATTTTTGAATCCCATATACTTTTTCGGTTGGACTAATTCAGCAAAGCGCAGATACAGGAATTATCTTTACACTTAAAAGTATTTCTTGCCACCTTAATCCAAATCTCGGTAACCCAGTAACAAATGGCTTAACTTAAAAATGGTAGGCACCAAAGAAATCTAGTTTTACGTTGATCAATTCAAAGTTGTTCACGAAAGCTATTTCATGAAAGAAATAGCATGATTTCATAACTTTTAACAGAGCTATTTATTAAAGAACAATTTCAAAAATACTGTTTCTTACTGTTATTTGCATTTTAACTGACTCTCATGAATTCTCACGCACCAGGATTTACATCTACATGCTTCTATTTCTATCAGGTTTTGGTGTGAACAGGAAGTTGCAAAAATATGATGATTTTGTCATTTTTTTTGGCTTTCTCGTCGAAACTTTGAGCAAGAGCATTTCATTTCATTTCATTGCAAATGATCAGAGATATGATTTTTTAAGCAAGCAGAAACTAAATTTACGCAGCAGTTACATGTGAATTTCTTCGTGATCTCAGAGGAATTGCTGTGAGCATAGATTAACTGCTTGTTGTTGCTTGACTGAAATAAAAAAAAAACAACAACTCTCTAAATAGAATGGTTTAATATCTGCAAAAAAGCAGGTGAAAAGCTAAAATCGAAACTCTAACCTCTAACCTGAAGTCATTTCGACGGCAAGAGCAACAACAGAATCCCTCAAATTTCTTGTTAAATCCAGGTTACGTTCACTTTATAATTAATTTGTAAAGTTACACGGTACTTAAATATTTAAATACAGAATGCTACTCGTTTAACTTTACCAAATGCGTGTTCCTACGACAAGTCAAAGCTAATTATTACCTCTTGAGAAAGCAAAGTTTAATTTTGAGAGAATTTGTCAATCTATGGTTTATTTTTTTTGCAGACTGACTGGTAAATATCCCTGATACTTCAAGCACGAATCAAAAAAGACTGACTATGATCCAAGTGGCAGACGAGATTTATTCAGGATCAGGTGCAAAACAGTTGTAGCGCATTTCTTACAACAACTTCGAATCAGAACTAAGATTCAAACGCTAAAATGGAAAACTGGAAAGTTGTTATTCGTGATTCTCTCTCAGTTCAATTCATGTTAAGGGCTGTTTGAGGCGGAAAATTTTCCCGCCAAAAAACTTAGAAAAAATACGGGCGCCCAAAATACGCATGCGCCAATTTTTTTTCTTTCAAAAAAGAAATCTAAGTTTTAAATTACGTCTACCTTGCTAATAAACTGAACATTTATTTACTTGTGGTTATCTTGTGATATTAGTAAACAAGTCAATAAAGAGTGTAGTGATCAGTTTTTGTATCGTCTTTTATTGTTTTGCAATATTCAATACACTATCAAACAAAGTTTTTTTTCTCAAATTCTCTTTAATCACATTTGTTAAAAATGTGGTGAGAAATTTTTCGTGTATATACTAAGACTTTTGGCGGGAAAATTTGGACCAATTTGCACAGAGTTTCCACTAACAACATTTTCGGCAAAAATTTTAACAAAGTTTTCTTCAAAATTTCCCGCCAAAATATAATTAGACATATCTCGTGCAAAAAAAATTGAAGAATTAAAGCAAAGTGAACCTCTCTTGGAAAAAAAGTTAAGAAAGTCTGAGCAATTCCCGTTTCGTTTCTTCAAATAAAAATTCTGATTTGACATGTTCATCTGTTGTCATACTTCAATTCTTTGCACGAAATGATTTGTGGAAGTTTCAAACGAAAGAGCATCATAGCAAACTATAGAGCGTCCAATCAGAAATATTAAACTCGTCTCCAAAATTGTGATTATTTTTTTAATGCAAAGATTTTTGAATCCAATCTATAGCTTGCCATGTTGTCTTTTCAGGGTAAAAGATCTTTAAAGCTGCCAGTTTCGAATGTAACACAAGACACTGGATGGAAAAGCACTGAAAAAAATTATTAAAGACTTTGAGCTTGATTTCCAAATTCCAAAATTCTCGTTTTTTTATTAAATTTAGATAAAAAAAACTGAAATATTGGAGCATACTATTTGAATTTTGATTTTAGCCACACGAGCTAAGACATCAGTGTCACAATTAGGCTCCAAATTTCTTAAAAATATCTTCGCTAAGCTTTTGCATGAGAAATAAGACAATCAACTAAGCCGCAGTAGTCAACATATTTCATAATCAGAAGCCAAATTCCCGTCGGATTTGCAAAGAAATTTGACAAAATAGCATGAATAAGAAGAAGTTGGAGCAAACTTTTCTAAATTGATTTTAGCAATTAGGCTCCAAGTTTCTTAAAATGGATTCGCGAAGCAATTTCAGAAATAAAATAGTATTGAACTGTTGGAGCAAATTTTTGTAATTCGATTTTAGCCTCTTATGGGCAAAGACGTTTCACAGTCAGGCTCTAATTAAGTTGGAGCCAATGGTTTCAGGAGAATGAATCGTCCAACGCGTACAATTTCTGTATTATTGTAAACCGAATTTGAAGATCAAAATTTTGAACTTCTACTCATCATTTCTCTCTGTATTCCTGTGTTACACCGAGTGACTGCACAAAAGATCTTCCTTCCACTTGCAGTAAGGAGTAAATCTACTATGATATATTTTAAAACTAAATGCCTGGTCCGAACGGTAACAAGTGGTCCTTTTTCGAATGCAAATTAACTTCCAAGTTTTAGAGACTACCAAGAAATTTCTTATTAAAGAATCAACTTTATATAAACAGCAAAATGGTAACCATCGCAGTAATGGAATAAAAATTACTAGCTTCTCAACTCCGCGAGGACGCATAAAAATTGCCATATACCTGTGAAAAAGTTCTTCATGGCTGGTATAGTATAACGTTCATAACCCCATTAATTTTCTTTAAACTTAAATTTGAATATAACAAATTTGAATTTTTGGTTCGAGCTTCGGTTTCGTAAATTCAACGTGCTCTCTGTCCAAAATTTAAATTATAAAATAAGCAAATGTTTGTAATTCCTTGAATGTTCACGACACTCGTATCAATATGTGAATGTGTTTAACTCGAAATAATGACAACTGTTTTGATTTGGTAACTTCTAAAACATTGAGGTAAAATTCTGATTTTGTTTCATTTGCATTTCTGATTCCAACTTTCGTTTGGAATTAATGTGTTTCAACCGGTAATACCTTAAAACAGTGACGAGCAAATAAGAATTTGATTTTCTTGTTTGTGTAAGAAAATAATGGTTTTTCATTAAAACGAATCGTTGCCAATATACTTTTTTATTTTTTTACTGGTCAAAAGATTTGCTCGTATATTCAAGTTTATTTTCGTCTGGTCTTTAAACAATTGAACAATTTGTGAAACAGTTCACCATCTTAATTTCTATTGATCAAACTCTTCTTTGAAATACGAAAATCTGCATTTCTTCGTTATGGAAAGGAGTCAATTTAAAATGGTTTATATAGCGGTCAATTTCAACTTCATCAGTTTCATGGAAGAGCTCGTGACCAGGCATTAGAGTTTTAAAACATATATTACTTACAAACGGAAACAAACCCAGATGATGGCACAAAGTAAAGGATATAATTGAAGATGGCACTCCGTTAAATTCTTGCTTCGTATATGAAAAGCAAATCCTTCCTTTTTTGAATAAGATTCCTAAATTTCCGGTTTAATTCAGTTCAAGCCAAAAATGAATTTTTAATTGAATGGATATGTTTTTGGCCAACTTTTCTCTTGATATTATTTAGTTGTCGGTCGTTAGGTACGATCTTCCGAAAGAGAGAAGCTACGAGAAGGTTTGTCGAAACTAGTGAATGGCCTGAGCAGAAGTCGTCAGAGTCTAGTGAACAATTATTTATAAGTCGAACGTTAAAACTTGGGTTTGTAAAAGTGATTTGTCTGGTCTGCAGAAAAGCGGTTTCAGAATCAAATGGTGTTGGTCCGTTAATTGATTAGTCGGTTTTGATCAGTATTTAAAGTTATTTTATTCTGTTTGATCTGTTGGTGACGTGTTAGTTTTTTCAAGTCGTTTGTAGCCGATAGTTGTTTTCGTCTGTTTTGAGGAGTCTTCTCTAACTTAGAAAACTTGATGTTTTAAGATAATGTACGTCGATGGTGTTGAGCGATGTGATTTTTGACGTAGAGAAAATTTGTAAAATCAATAGAGCTTGTCAAAAGATTTAATTTTGAATTCCATTTGGTTTTTGTCCGGCCGAGGTAATTTGTTGAAGTACCACCTCAATATCACCTTTATGTGACATCAACTGGGATTTAACTGTGAAACGAACTGTTAAACAAAATGAGCGATCAGAGCTTAGAAATTTGTCGTTTAAAAGTCAGCGTTTGTTGTTAGTATTATATCAGTTTCCAGTTGTTTCTGTCTTAAATTGAGTGTAATAGATTATTTTAGATACATTACACCAAATTGCGACTGGTAGTTCAAATAAATTAAATGATCGCTCAGGGTCTGTTTAACAATCAGTAACACAACAAACTATTTCAAAAATGGTGGCTAATTGACAACTATTCACTCACCATATAATCAGTTTTATCGGTTCCAAGACAATCGGTGAAGGAACGAAGACTTCGCATAATAATTAGAAAGATAAAGGGCCACCATTTTTGTCACTATTACTAAAATAATTTTAAAGTTCTTATCTTTGCAATATCCACAGAACATTTCTTTGATTTCAGTGTCTGTCCATCCTTCTCAAAACATTTCTCTTCCTGTAGTAGTAGAAAATGTGCATGTGATAAGTAAATGCTTACTTTTCTAGAGGACGAAAACTAAAGATTAAAAGTTTGTCTAGGAGTTTTGCTCTTTGACACAATTATAGAAAAAGGGAAAACATCAAAACCTTTTTTAAAACGTTATTTACAATGAAGCAAGGACCACTGAGTAGGGACCCCTTAGACCTCCACGTGGCTGTATTCAAATCCAAAATGAATAAAGTCGTCAATAGATTTATTAAACAAAACATTTTTATTGGAGCGTTTCGCTAAAAATGTTTTACTGTCATAGGTCTTGCTTTTCTCGAAGCCAACACCCTAATTTAGTCGAATTTCGAGATATGAAGAGTCGCTCAGACCGAGCAAACGATTCCAATTACGTCATTTAACTGAGATATGTCTCGTTTGGATTTCCTATGGAAGCGACATTTTCCGAAAGTAATGCTCACCTGCTGTTGTTATGACATAAAAGTGCTTTCGTTGCTCTTCTTTCCAGGTCCAAGGTCTTCTTCCTTCCAAATCTAAACGTCATGTTTAGCACAACGAACGGCACGTCTTCGCTCCTTCACGGACAGTGTGGTTTGCTAAAAATTCTACAACTCCTGATGAATATGGATAAACGACTGCAGCCAATAATAGGCTGGTACGTCACAGATTTGGCGCGTTCTGTTTGCACGCTCAGCTAGCTAATCAAGAATCGAGCTCAATCAAAGGCATTGCGTGTGACGGATTGCATGCGACAAGAGGAAAAAATTCACGGCTGCTGAATTTTAGGAACTACTATGTGATCAGGAATTTACTCTAACGCTCGAAACGAGCTAATTTGAAAGACCGATGTCAGTAAAAGAAGTAGATCTCAGTAATGAATAATGTAATTTCTGACTTTTGAGTGACATGGAAGCGAATCAGTCAGAAATTAATATTCTGACGGCTCGTTGAAGAGGTTCGCGTGGCATCACGGAAGTTTTGGAAAATTAAGTCATTCTGGGTCGGTCAGTCTTATGTTTCACCGCCCTCTTTTTTGTATCTGTTGCAATTCTGGTGTTCCAACTCTCTGTAAAACATCATTACAATCATTGATTTTCTTTGTGATTAGTAGTGAAACCAGGTTAGTTTACCCTTTACTCGGGGTATTGTGCTGCTGCATTCAATGACATATACGTTTCCACACATTTTTTGGCCATAGCTAAAGAGAGTTTTTCAGTGGTTTTTCGTATCTAGCATAGCATAGGTTCTTTTTGTTGAACCCCTAGTTTCAGGGTGCACACGACAAGATTGTATCAGGATGCGTAAACTAGAAGACTGACTGACAAAAATAAACAAAACCTCCTCCAAAACAAAAATAACCGGAAGTGAAAATAACTAGCCGGAAGAGTTACTCACATAACCGCGTCTGCGCACATAGCACTTAATTGGGTGGCGTGTGATTGCATGGTGAAAACTTGAAAATGGGCAATGTGTTTAGAAAAAGGGTACAGGATGTACGAGGAATAGAAAGAGGGAAATGCGCTTGTGGTGAATGCGAGGATTTCATGAGGTCAGATGGAGCAACTCG